GTGATGAAACTACTTGACTCCATAGTTTCATCCACGTTGTTATACTTGGCCCCACTGTGGGCAACGAATCAGATAGGAGTAGTTAACCAGATCCAGGATAATTTCCTACGGCGATTTCTTGACCTTCCCAAATTTACTCCGGACTATATCTTACGAACAGAAACCGGAAGGATGTCCCTTGAATTAAACATTGCGAAATTGATTCGAAAGTTCTGGACACGGAATATAAAAATGGACAGGACAAGATTACTCTATGTTTGCTTGTCCCAGCTCTAGAAAGTTTCAATTGTGGGAAAAGCGTTGAAACAACTTTATTTATAACCCCTAAATAACATCATTGACCCTAGGGGTTTTTCTTTTCTTAAGAACTGTGAAGATTATATGGTTGTGCGAGGAGAAATGCTTAGAATAGTTCAAACTACAGTTGGACCAGCTACTCCAATTTTTCCGAGCTAAGATACAAAGCTCAACTCATTTTATTCACTACCAATCTCTAATTAGCTCCTTTATGATGGAGGGCTACTTACTATCAAGCCTCCCTTTGAAAATTAAACAATTTATAGCTCGTCAAAGGATTCAATGGCTATTTTACCCTGAGGATATCACGGGATTTTGGAACAGTGACCCTTTAAATTGCTACTTCTGCAATGCTCTGTCATCCAAGACAATTTGGTCCATTATATATTTCATTGCCCATTTCTACAGAAAATGAACAACATGTATATAAAATTTTTTACTACTCTCCTGCTGGATAAAAAAATTGTTTATAAATATTTTAAAATTTTCAAGGCGATTGATAAAATGAGGGAAGTGCTCTATTCTATAATATGTTTAAATATATTTGACCATCGACCAACAACACAGTTTTCACATTTGCAAAATTATCATTTTTACAAATTAGCAACTCTTCACTAAGAGAACACCTCTCCCTAAAGGACACTTCGGCTCTGAAATTAGGTGTCCTTTACAGGGAGGTTCCACTGTATATGGAATAAAGTTGCTTTTCAATTTTAGACCAAATTCTTAAGTCAACAGACATCGCTGTACAAAGGATAGATTAAAGGCCAGTTTAAAGAGAGATTATTGTGTTAGCAGAAAGTGGAGGAGAAGAAGACCCAGAAGGATTCCTCTGGCCAGACAGTAACTGTGGTCACTCAGAGGGTGGGTGACCAGATTCACACTATCACCACTCGCCTCACTCCTGATGGGAAAGAGATAAAGGAAGAGCAGTTCCAGAATGTTGAGCCCGGTAAGTACTCCCATATCAGAGAGGTTTTTTAAAATTTATTTCATGTACAGTAGAACCTCCGTTAGCGGATACCGCTAAACAACGGACAGGTATCATCACCAAAATTGCCCTCCCATTGAAAATTCATTCTCGCTAGCAGACACCTCCAAACAAGTGCTTGACCAAAACATCAATAATTGATTTTAATATATAATTGACATTCCTGCTAGCAGACAAATAAAATGGGGTACAAGAAGAAAGTGAAAACCATAAAGCTGAAGCCAACTTCATTTATAAAAACAAAATAAGGCTTGGAAACTGCAAATTATATTCCATTCAGAAAATTGAAGTTGAAAAAAGATTATATTTTAAAAAATTTACATTTTTTTCACAATGTTTGATTGTATTTATCTAGTTGAATTTAACCTGTTTGTTAAGTTTTAAACAAAAATATAATATGTTTTAATAATATGTAAATATATTATGCTCGGAGATTTTTTTAGCTTCAACTTATATATAGCAACTTTCTGGTAGAGGATACCACTCCCTAAAGGTTACTTTGGCTCTGCAACTTGGTGTCCTTTACAGGGAGGTTCTACTGTAAACTCTTCATTGATTAGTTTTTTTAGATATTGTTAATTACCATATTTCTTTTATATAGCTGTACCTCTACTGAGTGTAAAAGTCATATATATATATAGACTGAAGTTTTGCTGAGAGAAAATTGATCAATATTGATCATATCTTCCATCAAAATAAGCACTAAAACTAAGCACCATCTATTGACCGTCTCCACAAATAAGCAGACTCAGGTCGGGGACAAAGCCACGACACCAACTCTGGCATACTGAGAAGCATCCACCTTATTGTGGTTCTCCTGAAATAAAGTCTGCCTTAGACTGATGAGGGTCATTAGCTCGAAATCATAAGTCTCTAAGTCAGTGATTCTCAACCAATGTGCCGCGGTAATTTTGTGTGCCGCGAAATTCTAAAAATGTGCCGCCGAATTTTAGTCATATGATTATGTTCACGTTTGTATTGGTTTTTCTTTTTTTATTTTTCATTTTTTTACTTTTTAAAATAACGAAATTAGCAAATTGAATGTTAGAGATGTATATTACTTATATTTTGCATAGAAATATTGATACATAATTTGAATTTTCTTGCATTCAAGTTAGCAAAAGTGTGCCGCGAAATTCTAAAATTGTGCCGCCAAATTTTCAAATCTTTAAAATAATGCCGCAACAAAAAAAAGGTTGAGAATTACTGCTCTAAGTGAATGCTTCTCAGTTTGCTAAAGCTGGTGTCGTGGTTTTGTCACCAACCTGAGTCCGCTAGGTTGCAGAGACGGTCAATAGATGGTGCTTAGTTTTAACATTCATTTTGATGGAAGAGGCCACCTTTGTTTCTACTATATTCAGTTGATTTGACTTGACCAAAAAAAACTCAAATTTTCTTAGGATTTTGAATTTACCTATTTGCCTATTATTTTTAAATACCTCCAATTTAGGGACCCCCCCCCATCTGATGAATGACTAACCATCTTTGTAAATCAAAAATGACTTCACTCTACCTAACCCAACCTATAATCACCTATAGGACAAACCACAAGTATCAATGTTTCATTTAACTCTTTCACATTGGAGCTCTCTCTCAGCAGAGCTGACTGCTACAAGGTGCATCCCCAGGTGGCGGATAGGGAAACAAACTTCAGATATGAAGGCCAGTTGTGAAACAAGCAGAATACTCTGACAAATAAGCAGTCGCAAACCAACAGCAGCATTGTTAGAAGAGGAGAAAGACCTCTTTAAAAATCTTGAGTTTAACTGATCCGGTTGATAGACCTCAGCAAGAGCCCCTTATCCAGAGATACATATATGGAGGAGCTGCATCTGTACTCATATTAGAGTTGGTAGCAAAGGTGTCTGCTTCCATGTTAGGAACACCTCAAATTACAGGCAAAGTCAGACTTTCATCAAAGTGTGCCTGGATAATGGTGGCATGATCAAGGGAAGCTGCACCCCTACACCTCATTCCATTGGAATTTGTGTATTCTTTACACAAGGAGATAAGAAACAACAACAACACATTGGAGGTTATTCTTTATTTATTATTACTCTTGATCCAAGTTGAGGATATAAAAATTTGATTTAGTCTAACCTCTGTCTGGGAATGTAGAGGAGTTTGAAAAGAAGTGGAGGTATGGCGGATCAAGTGCGTACCCTCAGCTCTCCCAATCTCCACCCGCAGAGAAGTCTGACTCCTTCTTATCCCGTCTCTACAAGAAGTTCATTGGCTAGGAGGATTCTTATTTCCTAAATTTATTTTTGTGTATTTATCTTATAAGTTGCATTGTTGTCTATTTTAAATTCTAAATAAAAATGTTCTGTACAATATTTTCTTAGAAATAATAAAATTATTTTTGGCATGAATTGTTTAGAAACCTTTATTTTATTATTCTATCTTCATGTTGAAATGTCTTTGTAGGAATTGTTTTTTTTCATTCCATATTTACATGTTTAATAGAATTTATTTAACCTTTTTTCATGTTCTGTGCCTGTCTGCAATCTTCAATTTTTAACATACTAACAGAGCATGTAGAAGTCTGAAATTTGGTACACTTGTTCAAACCTGATAACATTGCAAGTTGACAAAATATCAGAACTCTAGGTGGTCAGAGTAGTCGGCAATCGACTAATATTAATTTCAACTTTTGTGATCAAGTTTTAATATACATCAACAGACCACATAAGTATGAAATTTGGTATACTCGCTCAATGCAGCTAACAATGCAAGTTGACAAAATTCCAGACATCTGGGTAATCAGTAATTGACAATTTTTGTATTTCTTTTCAAATTTTGTGGGCAATTTTTAATATATTTCCAGACTATACATAGAAGTCTATATCCACTCACTTAATCAAACTGCACAATATATCAGACTTCTAGGTAGCTGTGATGGTCTGGAATAGAATAAAATTTGTATATATATTAAAAGGAGAATATAAGCGCAACCATTTGTGGTGTAAATAAGCAGATGTCATTCCCTAAAAATAAATCTTTAGCATAAACTAGAGATATAAATAATAAATATTGCCAGAAATATACAATCGTTTAAAATAATTTAAATACAAATTTAACCAATTTTAAAATTTAAAAATATGACATTTTATATATTCAAAATAAAATATATTTTATATATATATGCCTTTTTATTATCTAATAAAAATAAATCGGTAGTATGAACTAGAGCTATAAATAATTGTGAAGATATTTTGTCAGAAATATATAATCATTTATGATAATTAAAATAAAGAATTAACTAAACATAAAATATATTGATAAACACAGGGTAATAAGACCAAATATAAATAAATAAATAATGTGTGACGTTTCGGTAACAATGTTGTTACCTTGTGTTTACAATCTATAATTCAAATTGTATATACTTTATCTATATAATGATAAATTTGTATATTTAGAAATAAAGACTATAAAATAGTTAATAAAAAAATGTTTTTCAAAAAAAGCTTTCATTTTTTTTTTTTTGCTTATCCCTAGTACACGTGGTACAGGCCATGATAATCATGGTGGGTAGTTAGCGACTGCTTTTTACTGTAAGCGCACCACATGTCTACACATGTGAAAAGCAGTTCGACTTTGCACTTACAAATGCCAGAGCCCGGTTTGGTTACTTGCACTCGCTGGTGGGGTTAGACTTTTGCAAGAATCGGGGGCCATTGGAGCATTTTTTTTTTTAAACAGAAAAAAGTGTCCAATGCGGGAATCGAACCCGGGTCGTAGTGGTCGAAAACCAAACGGTTTAACCAGCCTTCCACTTTCATTGAAATGAACTAAAAGGAGAAAATAAATATTTCATCTCTAGCCATTAAATAATTAGATCTATACAAGTCAAAATAAAAGTGGCAGGATATGATCATAAAGAATTTCAAACTTAATGTGATTAAATATAAGGCAATGATGAACAAGTTTTTACATTTAACAAAATATTTTACCTCTTCACTCAATATATAATGATCATCCTCCTCCCCTTTTATTTTGGGTGTGGGAACAATTAAATTTATTTGTAATATTTTCTGGAAATGTTTTTTTATGATACATATTATCAAATATCATCCCTACAGACCTTGCTTCAATGATAAAAGTTATTAAATGAGAGGGCTTGGATCATCAGTTATGAACCCTCTCAGTGGTTTCACCAAATTCCCTCCAGACCGCTCTACTATTGTATTGGTTTCCTATATACCCTGCATTTATTGAGGAAGGCAGCAGGGGTGTTTAGGAAACCTATGGACATTAGCTTATAGGACTGTAGAGGTGCATACATATAATTGCAATAAATTTCATAGAGCAATGTTCATTCACAAATATTAAACACAAGGTAATAAGACCAAATCCAAATAAAAAATAAATAGTGTGACATTTCGGTAACAGCGTTGTTACCGAAACGTCACACACTATTTATTTATTTGGATTTGGTCTTATTACCTTGTGTTTATAATCTTTAATCCAAATTGTGCCTTATCAACATTCACAAATATTATTTCATATTAAGGCTATTTTTAGCAAATTACAATTAAAAATTCAATTGCCATCTATCAATAAATTTATAATAAATATTTTTTTGACAACGTGTTTCTTATATATTATCAAATATCTCTACAGACTTTACTGCAATGATAAAAGTTATTAAATGAGAGGGCTTGGCTCATCAGCAGTGAACTCTCAACGTTTTTGCTAAATTAATCATCCACTTCAGCCAAGCCCTCTCATTAAAAAAAATTGAATCATAAGAGTGTGACATTTAGAGATAATATTTGATAATATGAAACAGATTGGCAAAAAGATACAATTTTATCATTAGATATTGAATTTATAATTGTAATTAGATTTTTTTTTACTAAAAATTTAAAAAAATCACTAAAAAAGGATTCATTTTCAGCTATCAAGATTAAGTAAATAGATTTATATCGTCAAAAATAAGCCCTGCAGGGTGTATCAAGTAGGAACAAAATTAACTAACAGGTTATTTTTTACTTTCAGTTTAAAGTTAAAAATTAATATTAGCACCTCTGTCCATTTTATACAGTAGAACCTCCATGAGAGGACACTCACACTAGAGGACACCTCTCTACAAAGGACAGTTTGGCTCTGAAATTAGGTGTCCTTTACAGGGAGGTTTTATTGTATATTGTCTCGTATATGAGCCTTCAAAACACCTACAACCTCCGCCAATAGATGACGCTTTCGCCTATTTCCGGTCTGGAAATAATGTGGGAATCGCTGATTGCTGTGGTCCTGTTTTCTGGGGCTAATGAATGTAAATATCCGTTGATTAATATTCGAGTTATTTTGTAATGTGGTTTAAAGAAGACAATAAAAAAGAGGAGTGTTAGAAGTCTTGATGCTGGTTGCTGTCATGACTCTCTCGCCAACACCACAGTCACTACTCTTCTGGTAAGTCTCTCGTGTCCCCCACCATTGGTAAGGCCGAGAGATACTGCCAGAGGAAAGGAGATCCACTTGAGTAGTGGTTCTCGGAGGTCTTTGGGCGGTCTGCAGGGTAGAGCTGCAGAGGAGAGCAATGGAGTCCGGGGCAGGTGATCCACAACAGAGGAAGCTGCGTAGTCGCAAAGAACCAGAGGGGTCAAGCACGACAATGTATTTTTAGCTATAAAAATATTCAATATGTTGCATTCCACACACACAGCTCCAGTTCAAAAATAACTATAAGGTGCCACTCAAAAAGAGCAAACCAGGTTATGATACTTACATTAAGGAATATGCACAGGTTCATCTCATTTACAGTGATTTCACATATTTAAAAGGCCTTGTGGTGCAAAATCCTAGGTTCCATATATATTTTTTTCAAAGTTGGGCTGGTTTCCCTACTTTATTTTGTTCCAACTACATTTTCTTTTTTTTTTTCTTCTTCCTTTTTTCTCAATTGATAGAGTAATTATTTTGGTTTGGGATTCCTTTTTTTTTTTGTTTCTTGTTTGTAATGTTGAGCTTCTTTTAAGGTTATGTTTACAAGTTTTCTGAAGAAGAGAGTTGAATGATTGTCTTATTATGAAGTTGTTTTTATCTTTAGATCCTTTCTAATGATGCTGCCTCCTGACAAACGATGGTGCCCCTATTATTTTATTGATTTGGTTTTTAAGGCAGCTTTAAAAATTTTCAGCATAGTTTTATTTGCAGTTATGAAGACCAGGTGACCATAAGTACGAATTAGTCTTATAATGGATGTGTAGATTGTTCTCTTGCAATGTAAGTACAGCTTGCTTTTGCTTCCTAATAGCATCACTAGCCTGTGCTGTGTTGCCTTTGAAAGGTTTATTCTGTTCTAAATGTATTTCTGGAAGGTCATATATTTGTCAAGCGTCATGCTTAGGTAGCAGACGCTGTACTTCCATTTTATTAGTTCATCAGAAACTTAGTTTCTGTCTTAAAAAAATAATTAGATTTCAGTGCAACCCATCATTCGTCACACCAAATATTAACCAACACCAGCGCTTCTTGGAGTTTCAGATAAATTGTGTCAAAATCATAGGCTGAAAGCTATGTGGCGACATCGTCTTCATATAGATCCAGTGATATTATTTTCCGGGCAGGGGTAATAATTCATGTATGTGCTGAAGTAGGTGGAACCGAAAACTGATCCTTGAGAAACCCTGGCTAGTATTTTTCTTTGAGTCGAGACAAAACATCTTTAAAACCTTCACTCTTAAGTTCCTGCCAAAGAAATAACTCCGTATTATTTTGATGATGTCTCTGAAAAAGTTCTTTTTTTGATATTTTGTATAAAAGGTCCTTGTGCCAAACTTTGTCAAATGCTTTGGAGATGTGAAAGAGGATCCCTCCTGTTAATTGCCATAATTCCATGGTCTTTCCGATTTTCTCTGTAATGACTATTATGATGAAGAGTGGAGTGCTTCAACTGGAATCCAAATTGTTCTGGTTTTCGAAAATATTTTCATTCAGTGCTCTTATTCTTTCAAGGATGATCCTTTCAATTAATTTTGAGGTGGCAGGCAGAAGTGAAATGGGCCTATAGCTTACTGGGTATGGGACAGATAATTGAGGTTTTAAAATTGTTTCGGAAGTGCTCAAGCCTTAAGGAGGCATTAAAGGTTTTAGTAATTTAAGGAAATGGGGGTAATAATTTTAGGGCTTCATTTGGAATCTCATCGATGCCTAGAACTTTTTTGTTAGGGAAGGTGTCAATATTATTGTCTTTATTTCTCCTATGTTAGTGGGTTCTAGTCTTATTTCATTGTTTGTTTGGGAATGTAGGTTGGCATCCTTAATTAAAGAACTGTTATTTTTCAGAATTAGGTAGGGAATTAGAACTGAACTGTTCTTCATAACTATTTGCTAGTTTTAGCTGCCTTGTCCGCTGTTAGGTTAGGCTTTTTTTTTCTAAAGAATGATTTATTTCTTAGGACTTGTGAGCTGTTTTATAGCCTTCCATATTGTTTGAACAGACACGTCCAGGTTTTCTATTTTAGGTTCCCCAGTTGGAGTTGTCATGCTCCCTGGTTAGTTTTTCAATTCTCTTTGTTTTGAGAGGTAGGGTTATTTGTCATGGGGGGGGGTCTCCAGTTTTTTTCCCTAGGTCTGTTGGCAGTAAGCAGCAGGCTGACCTCTTGAGACAGCAGTGTTTGCTCGGAGTACACCACGTAGCTTTGTTCTTCTACCTACCGGCATGAGTTCTTCATCCCTATATATCCCGGAGTATATCTTTCCAGAATGGTCATGGTTGGTCAGCCAATCAGAAAGCCGCCAGCATAAAGCCTTGCGCAATCACTTTAGATTGGCCAATCAGTTGTTCTCCGATTTTTCTACATTATTCTTGAACGTTCTGAAACCATCTATTCTGAAATGTGCTTTTTATTCTACGTAATACTGCTCCTTCTTAAGACTGATCGTCCCGAACAGTCCATTGTTCTGGAACAGTACCCCTGATGGGTGCTAACCGGTTGTAGTGCCCATTTTGGGTTTAGATGTCTGGGTTTCTGAATTCGATAGATGACATCGGGCAGCTTCGTGCTTCATGGCTTGGACAAGGGTTTCTTGTAGAGTAGTCACACTTGAAAGTCTGGCAAACCTTTGGGTCTCAGGGTCTCTGATGGCATCAATAAACTGTTATTGGGCCAAAAATTCTTGTGTTTCAGGTGGGCACGTTGGAAAGGCTAGTCTTGCTAGGCATCGAATGTCGTTGGCCAAATCCTGCAAACTTTCTTCCTAATCATGTAGTCTATTCTTGAACTTTACCACATGAAGCTGTTGGTAATGTTCTTTTCCATATTGGGACTCCAACGCGTTAATCAGGGCGTTGAATTCTAGACAAAGTTGTTCCTGAATCATCTGGAAAACTCCACTGCAGGTCCACGAAGTGCAGCAGCCAAAAAGCTTGCTTTATCTCTATCGTTCCATCCATTCGCTTGGGCAACCACATCAAACTGGGTTTTGAAGGAGGTCCATAATGATTGCCCATTAAAGGTGGGAATAACAGGCCTCCCAGAATTGTTATTTTCTTGCTGGAAAACCAGAGTTCATGGATGGCCCGTTTCCACAGCAGCAAGTCTCTCTTCTAAGTCTTTCTTTCATTTCTTCTTCAGAGGAGATTTCATCTTCTAAGCATTGGAACTTAAGCGCCAAGCGCTTGATGTTGAGCTTGAAGAGCTTCACGAGTGTCTTTGTTTTGAGCCTGCATAGCCTGGTTTTGAGCTTGAATAGATTTACGAGTTTCTCGGTTTTGAGCTTAAAGAGCTTACCAATTCTTGATTTTGAGCCTGCATAGCCTGGTTTTGAGCTTGAATAGCTTGGGCAGCTTTCAA